ACGGCCCAATTATCGCCATTTAATTTTAAAAAGGTAGCGTTGTACTCGCCCATTTTCAGTTTTCTTTTTTATGTTTTTATGCCTTTTAGCGATACTTTTTCACCTGAAATTTCTCTAAAAACACTTGGCGTGGTCAAGCTTAAAATGGCGGTCTTCTTGTTACCAGTTTCGATTTTTCTTTTAATTTTCTGCACGATCTGGGCCCATAACCTCTTGTGGGTATTATTGCCGTGGTCCAAAGAAAACCGGAAACTGGTTTAGTTTAATATTTATTTATTTGTTTTTAAATTAACTTGAAAATACATCAACATAAAATATAAACCCGCTAACTTTTATTTTTTAACAGAGAGCATCTTCTTGATTATATTTAGTACCAACCTAAAGTCAAAATCATATATAATAAACAAAACATTTCCTACAACATTTTAACATTTTAGGTTTATCTCTAATTTTTATAATTTTACAATTGCAATAGACACAAAAAATGTAATTATATCATGCTTTGGATCCATATCTTCTATTCCTCTATTAATAACCATATAGTCCAACGTCTACACCTTTCACAATATACCATGCATGATTTTCGAGGTGAAGTAGTCTCCAATTGTGGTAAATGAACAAAGTGTATGTGGTGTATGTTTCTCCAACATCCACAACAGATATATGATATATACATTTTCAATCTTCAGTGCTTCTTATTAAATATATATATATATATATATATATATATATATATATATATATATATATATATATATATATATACTTAAATGTAGTGGGGAATTACATGTAGATAAAACAAAATGGATCCAAGGGTAGTGTAATGTTTGCATTAAAATCATTAACTGATTTAAATTCTCTCTTTTGGAAAACTATAGGTCGATCTTCAACTAAACTAGTCAAATTGAATCTTCCTCAGTACATTTTATTAAATTCTTGTGGAGCAATTGGATAATAATTTTGATATTCTCCTATAATCTGACCTATATAACCACCATTTGAATTTTCAATAGGTGTATTGAGAGCAATTTTCTTATCCGAATAGAAAGCAGGATACTCTTGTAATATAACTTTATCTTCATATCGTTCAAATAAATAAAATGTTCCATTTTCTACACACATATATCTTCATTCCCAATTTTTACATTTCTCACACATTCACCACCGTCTAATGTTACTAAAGTTGATAAATTAACTGTAGCAACAATAACAATTGGTAAAATTCTTGCAATCATTTTTTTTCTTTACTTATACCCTTGTTTATATATTAATAGTTAGTCAATGTGCCTGTATAAGTCGATGCTGCCAACTGGTGGCAGAAATTAAAACGTAAAAAGGGGCCGAGGCTATTGAATTTGGCAAAGAAGTAGGGACTAGGAATTCTTCGAATTTAATTCTCGGTAAAGAATAAAATATCTTATCTGATTCGAACCGAATTTATACCTCAAAGCGTTATTTACATTTTTTATTTTTGGACATGGATTTATATTTATTTTGATTTTCATGGCCACTTGTTGGATACTAAAGTATTATATTAGGTATATAAATATTTTATTTTTAGATTAATATTTTAGGATAATTAAAGAATATAATATGAAACTATACCTACCTACGTCTGTAACTTTGTAAAAAGTGTGGCGGATTTGACATAATGTTTTTTTTTTAAATGTAACATCCTATTTTATTTTAGATTCTGCGTAAAATTCTATTACTTTTTTTACGTATATTTCTTGTATAATGGTGTAAGCTAAAAGTAGTTTTATAATATTTCAATTTGTTGATGAAGAAAAAATATTAGATATTTATATGTAGATATTTAAGGTAGATGCTACAGGGTGTTCAATATATATTTTTGAAATTCGACTACGTATTTAAAATAGAAAAATATCTGCAGATTCTTTCAATGACGCAGCCTATACTGAGTGTTTTTTCAAAAGCGGTTCACCTCTATAACTTTTTTATTTTTTCAGATAAAAAAATTAAATTCGGAGTTTACCAAATTCGTATGTTACTATATTATAGATTGTAATTTAAAATACAATTTTTTAAGTAAATATGTCAAAAGTTGACATTAAATTATTCTATTCACAATGCCATATTCTGTCAAATAAAGTAAAAAATACCGACGGTACAATTTAAAAACCAAGTTGTAGTCATTTCCGGTGAAACAAGAAATAACCGAAACTAATTGAATACGTCAATCAAGCCACTTTTGAAAAACACCCGGTATATTATAATTTTTTCTGATAGATTTTACAAAATTCTTCAATTTCTATTAATAATGTAATATAACTATATAAAGTACTTTAATGCTTAATAATAAATAATTTTTGTTCTGTCATGGCAAAACTTGTTATAGTGTAAATGAAGTAAAAGAAGGATAAAAATTGAAAAATTCAGAACAGATTGCAAGCTGTATAGAGTATAGATATACAAAAGCAGGTACAAAATACACATTACACATCACGTAAACACAACACATAAAACTCATAAAATAATAGTTTGCAATCCAAATATTCAAAAATACTGTTTCGTTTCTTCGTGAAGGACGAAAAAATTGATTTTTTTAATTATTTAGATATGCATTAAGGTATATTTCAACTCAAAAGCTTATAAATAATTATTTTTTAAGACATAACCTAAACGAAACGAAATCAGAAGTCGAGAAAGATAAACAAAACTGCCGAATTTAGAAACGAATATGACTTTTTTTCCTTTTTTCTTGTCACAGTTGAAACAAACAAGGATAAAGCTATTTTCGTAAAACATGCGTGAAACGTGCTAATAAGTAGCCCAATAGATGTGACCTCGCGCCCTTCCATTTTTGAACGATGGGCGGGTTTAACGGATTCCCCTCAAAGAAAATCGTAGGGGAATACAAAAATGCAGAACGGGCAAGGCGCCATCTAGAAGACAGGATTTTACTAAGCCCTCATTGTATATCTATTTATACATAATCAAGGCTTATACTTTCTTTTTCTCTAACGATTCAGCAACAACTAAATATAAATCTCAAAATTTACATTTATATACAGGGTGTTTCAAAACAAATGCGAAAAACTTTAGGGGGTGATTCCTTGTTCAAAATAAAGGGTAGTTTGCTTTATAAACGTTGGGTCAAAAGTCAACCATTAGGGAGATATCGCGGTACAAAGATGGCGGAAAAATAATGTTTTTATTTTTTATCTTGAAAACGAAAAGAGATAGACTCATGAAATTTTATGGAAGCATTACTGTTATGAAAACACACTTTCTGGTATTTTTTTCACTTTTTTAAAATGAGTGGAAGGGGTTGAAATAAACTACCCCTATCATTCTTGTTAACGAAATTTAAAGAAAAATCTTATCAAATACATACAAAAAAATTAATTTGGATAGTTTAGTTTGTTTAGAAACTTTTTTATCTCTTGTGTTTTTTTGATAAAACTCAAGAGATAAAAAAAAGCATTACATGTCAGGACAAAAAACATTTTTAGATTAAGAATCTAGTGATAATAACGATAATAATAATCATCTAGATAATAACGTATTGCAGTAGAGTAATGTCAAATAAAATAATATTAGGAACATCCTAAAAAGTAATAGCGGGCGACTAGATTTTTTCCTAAAAAAATTACAGCAGCCCACTAGATTCTTTATCAGAAAATGTTTTTTGTCATGGTATGTGCTTTACATTTTATTTTTTAATTTCAAATCGGTGAGTTTTATCAAAAAAATACAAGAGATAAAAAAGTTTCTAAACAAACTAAACTATCCAAATTAATTTTTTTGCATGTGTTTGATAAGATTTTTCTTTAAATTTCGTTAACAAGAATGATAGGGGTAGTTTATTTCAACACCTTCCACTCATTTTAAAAAAGTGAAAAAATTACCAGAAAGTGTGCTTTCACAACAGTAATGCTTCCATAAAATTTTATTAGTCTATCTCTTTTGGTTTTCAAGATAAAAAATAAAAACATTATTTTTCCGCCATCTTTGTACCGCGATATCTCCCTAATGGTTGACTTTTGACCCAACGTTTATGAAGCAAACTACCCTTTATTTTGAACAAGGAATCACCCCCTGAAGTTTTTCGCATTTGTTTTGAAACACCCTGTATATATACTATTACAGAAAAAAATAGATCAAGATAATATAAACAAGATAAAATTAGTATTATTATTGATTGCATCATCGCCTGCAATATTCTTATTGATAACCTGTAACTTTTTAAACGTTATCACACACAACAACAACATGACATTTTCCTAAATTTTAAGGAAATTTCTCGTCTATAGCACCCCAACCTATGTAACTCTTATACATGGCATATATGCAAACTCCCTAAATCTACTAATTTAGATCTGGCAAAGCAGCATTTGCAGTACCCTCCTGCTTACCCTTAAAAACCTACCCTCACCCACCCCCAACAATTACATTAAGGCCCTTTTCTACAGCCTCTGGTAAATTTACAAGAACTACCCACACAAGAATTATTTCTTTAGAAATAACCTTCAAATTAGTCAAGGTCAATACTTCTTCGGCTCATGGATCGATGCTGATGGAAAACATGCCATCGAGCAAAAAGTGGTCCAGTATCCCGCTAGCTATACTACTCTCTGGTGGTGTACAGAGCTCATTATCACTCTCATAATTCATTTTTTGATTTTAAACGAGTTCTTGATATGCCACTTAATAATCACTACCTACTTAACATTTGACAATTTTAAACGTCAAAATTAATAAAAAGAAAAGATAAGAAAAACGTCAAATCATCCACGCCGCGCATCGGGATGTTGTGAGTGTCACGTCGGCATAGCAATAAATGTAAAGTAAATGCAAAGTGTGATTTATCATGATTCACTGTTATCAGCTGTTATATTTCACTCTATTAAAAATATGGGCACCATATTCCGTCAGCTAGGAAGTAGAATATTGATTTATTATTAAGTGGTCATGGACAAAAATTAATAATTCAATAACAATAAAATTCTTACAAAGTTGTTGAATTTTAAACTAACCTGATCGCATTTTTCATATAACAAAGCTGCATCTGCAATCTGTCTTTTCTTTTCCAAAATATCGGCACACTCCCTTATCAACTGCTTGTTATCCAATTCCAAAGCTATGCTGAGGCCGTGCCTATAGTTTCCGCAATACAAAGTTGTCCGAGCTATGCCGGCTTTACACGTATAAGTGTGTTCTGGGCTTAAGTCTTCTTGTAATCCTCTTTGGTAGTGCAGCAATGATTCAGAGTAATTGCCTCTAAACAAAATTAAATAGATGTATTTATTCAATGTTAAATTGCAAGCTGGGACTAACAAAAAAATTATACCGGGTGCGTCTCGAAATTGGCTCATCCCTTCAACTTTTTTATTTTTTCAGATAAAGAAACGAGATTTGGTATGTTAATATATGATATAAATTGAAATTGATTGACGTATTCAATTGTTTTTGGTCACCTCCTGTTTCACCGGAAATGACTACAACTTTTGATTTTTAAATGGTACCCTCGGTATTTTTTTACTTTATTCTATAGAAAATGATATTCTGTAGAGAGTGCCTATGTTAAAACACTAATTCTTAGTCAAGGAGTCTTGGAAAAATAGTTTTGATCGTCTAATGTTTTTAGAGTCTTGTCCTGGCCGGTAAAAAGATGCCCAAATCGTATTTTTAATCATATCTCAATTTTTTCAAATGGAGCGAGGATGGCTCATTAGCATATTTGGAAAAGGCATATTGTTACGAATAATTTGATACCACACACTTGGTATTTTGAGTCAAACTTCGTTACGAACCGCAAGTTATAATTTCAAATAAACCATATGCGAAAATGTCAAGAGTTGACATGTGATATGTCATTCGATTCAGAGTGTTATTTTCTACAGAATAAAGTAAAAAAAAATACCGAGGGTGCCATTTAAAAATCAAAAGTTGTAGTCATTTCCGGTGAAACAGGAAGTGACCGAAAACAATTGAATATGTCAATCAATCCTAATTTATGTCATATACTAACATACCAAATCTCGTTTTTTATCTGAAAAAATAAAAAAGTTATAGGGGTGAGCCACTTTTGAGACGCACTTGGTATACCTATAATGATGTTGATGGATAATTGAACACTGTCAAAAATTTAAATAAACCAGAGAATAAACTGCGCTGTCAAACAAAATTCGAATGCGTTTGATACTAAAAATAGTATGTGCGCTTAAAATAATAAAATCGGAACACGCGCAATATCTTTTACCGGAATGTGCTTTAAATTTCGAAACAATGCCAGACACCTGATCTCAGAACGTCTTAAAACACGAATATTAGATAAATAATGATGAGGAAACGTTGAACCATATACAGGGTGTCCCATTTTCGTGGGGCTGTTTTCGATATATTGAATTCTGAATTACGATAAACATTTTAGAAATTTATTTTTTGTGGTCTTATCAATAATCAATTCATTTTTGTTTTGTTTGTTTCCTTTCTTTATTTTTAAAATTTAATACGAATTTGATTGCTTCGAATGTCTTGAATTTGAAATTGTTATAACTACGGCAACGTCGCTTAATATCGTCGCATGACGCAAGCTCGCCACGGCGGCGCGGCGTCTCGAAGAACCAGTTGACACGCGGCACTCTTGGCCGACGGTTGGGCTGTCGATGTCGATAATATTATTGAGTAAAACATGTGTTATGATGAATCATTTTATTAAATTTATTCCAAAATAAAGTTATTTTGCAGCATAACAAAGATTATCGTAAACGTCATAAAGGTAATGTTTAAGTTAATTTTCGGTGGTTTTTGTTAAGTTTTCATTCAAAGGGTAAGTACTAAAAATAATTAAAGTGTTTTTTTTTGTAGAATTATTAGTAATGAGTACTGATAAAGATTAGATTTAACATTCATAATTTTTTTGTGTAGAAATTTGTCTGTCAATTTATAAATATAAAACTATGTAGAATGTGGATAACATAGGAGGTTGCAACACTGCAAGGTTTAGATACACCGTAGAGAAATCTCAGGTGAATAAACAAGTGGCACTAAAAAGTTTTTTAAAATTTCCCGGAAAACGCCAAGAAAAATTTTAAATTTTCAACATTTTTTCAAAAAAACCTCGTAGGCCTGTTTCTAGGGTCGAAATTTACTACCAGTTAAAATACTTGCACTTATTTCTGAGTCACCATGTATATTTCATTCTATATCTACAGTGACACCTTTAATTTAAAGAATACACATATGAAAAACAAATTCACTGAAAAAAATATAGAAATCTAACAGACCTAAAAATTAAATTCACCCTATTTGCTAAATCGGTTGTAAAGGCATAAGTCGATTCCCAAATATAACGCAATTCTAATAAATCTAATATACTTACATAAATTCCAACTGTTGAGCGTATTCCCTAGATATCATCGACACTTGCTCAAGAGCCATTTTATTTGCCAATTCTAAAGCTTCTTCCCATTGTAACAAGTCTCGTCTCATATCCAGAGCGGATGTCGGCTGATTTGAGCTCAGAAACCATGACTGAGCTCTGTCGTAATCGTTTAAATACATAGAGACGTATCCGGAGAGCAATTTCCAATCTTCTACGTCGAGAATGTCTTGTAGAGACGAAACCATAGCTACGTCTTCGATTTCTTTATAAATCTGAATTGCTACAGAGATAAAATAAGTATGATTTTATACAAAAAATACACTCACCGGCAAAAAAAACGGCCACTAAAAACTAGTCCCAATTTCAAAGTTGGATTTCTCGCGAACCACTCATTAGATTTTGCTGATTCTTTTTTAAATTGTAAATTAATTCCTTATTCTTAACGGATGCTACGTCAGAAATTTTTATTGCGAATTTATTTTGAGCATATACAGGGCACAACAATAAGACGAAGTTTTTTGCCCGAACTTTGTAACACCCTGTAGGGTGCAACAGCTGTAGTAGCTATTGCTAAATCATATCTCATTGTAGCCTCATCTTTTGTGAGCATTTTGTTTTTTTTTAATCACGACATTATCTCTGTTTGTATTGGAGATACGCTGCTTTAAAACAAACGCCCCGAAAAAAGCTTTAGTCCATTGCTCAATATCCCAATTCACATGTAAACGCGCAAACTGAAGACGTACTCGACGATGTCTTGGAAGTAGCTGGGGTCCTGTGGCAGGCCTCCTTGCAGACAAGCTGTTTTCTTTTAGTATTCATCAGAATGTTCTCTCACTAACTTGAGTTCTACGCACGGTTTGTAGCAGATGTTGATTCTGAAACGCTGTACTTCTACGATTCGTAAAGTATTCAGGACAATAAAGCGGTCGTCAATTACATTTGTCTTCCGTTTTCTTCCAGAACCCACTCGCCTGGTAAAATTTCCCGTTTCCATATACCGATTCGAGGCATCCTGGACTGTTGTTCGAAGTATACCCTGGGTATCGGACACATAACGTTGACTTCGACCATCCTCAATTAAAGCCACAATACGAGCAACATCAGTAACAGATAATGACATTTTTTAATTTGACAACCGCTGTTGTCATATTGCAAATACTCACAAATCCGTTTTCGCCTATGTCGCCTTGATTATTTACACATAAAACTTTATGCCTGTGAACCTAGATCATATATACTTACGTGGATAAATCAACGCCATAAGTTTAGTATTAAAAAATATGTCCGCAACATCACGACATGCCATTTTCAAACCTTCTTTATTGCACTTATGAAACGTTCAATAGGTTTGTCTTTCTCGAGGACCTGACTTTACGCATGCGCATTAAAAGTGGCACGTATTTCCAAAATAATTACAATTTTATCCGGTTTAGAAAGTACAAATTATACATTGTTAGGGAAACCAACTTTTCATTGTCATCATATTGTCATAATCTTGTCATAATCATATGTCATAATGTGATTTCCATTGTGTAACGACGCTTGTTTTTTGCGTTTTTTATTTTAAACATTGTATTAATTACTCTTTTATCGACCGCTTTTATATAGCCAATAGCCAAGGATGCAAGTGTGTTCAGTGAAAAGTTAATTTTAAGTTTGTGCAAAAATATTTCTATTTTTTATTCGTTGGGTTTTAATTTTTGGGTAAATATTCGTAAAAATGACAAGAAAGTGTTTGGTGTGTGGAAATTATAATATAAATGTCGCCGAATTATCTTTTCACAGGCAAGTAAAGTATTCAGTTGTTCTTTTATGTATATTAAACCACATGCATACTTTCTGGTTAGATTTCCTAAGAATATTGATATTCGTACGGAGTGGCTAATTTATTTTTTATATAATTTAATTTTTGTGACAGTAACATTCAATTATTGTTCAAATATATGCATTTTACAAATTAAATTTTTAAAATTAATGTTCAAATTTGACGCGTGGGCGATAGGTCCTCGACAAGGATAGATAGAGTAGAAGCACCGCGTGTGCAACAAAAAAAGAAGATAAATGGAAGTCGTTGATATGTTTGGGACAGTTTCCGTAGTGATTTACTTATCCACGTAAGTATATATGATCTAGGCCTGTGAAGCATTTTTCCGAGACGTTCGTTTTAAAGTAGCGTATCTCCAATACAAACAGAGATAACGTCGTGATTAAAAAAACAAAAAGCTCACAAAAGATGAGGCTACAATGTGATTTAATTTAGCAATAGCTACTATAGCTGCTGCACCCTACAGGGTGTTACAAAGTTCGGGTATTGTTGTACCCTGTATATGCTCAAAATAAATCCGGGATAAAAATTTCTGACGTAGCATCCGTTAAGAATAAGGAATTAATTTACAATTTAAAAAAGAATCAGCAAAATCTAATGAGTGATTCGCGAGAAATCCAACTTTGAAATTGGGACTAGTTTTTAGTGGCCGGTTTTTTTTGCCGGTGAGTTTATATTTAAGCAGTATATTAAAATAATATTATAAAACATTTACCTGTATCAATTTCAAGACATTTTAAACACTCGACGGCCAGTTTTACATAAAAATCTCTTGATTTTATAGACTGGCAGGTCTTTATTGCTGACGAAAATCTAAAAGAGGTTAAATAATATCACTTTGAAGTTCAACGCATATTTTAGTATAAATGTATAAATAACTGATTTTAGAAAAAGTTTAAACTATGAAAATTTGCCTCAATTGCCACATTCGAACTTTTGAAAGGACAAAAAATATCTAAACTCTCAAATTTCATATAAATTGCATCTCTTTAAATATAATACCTTAACTTTGTTTCATCGATTAAATAGCATGAATTCTAGAAAGAAAATAATATGATTTCAAAATTATAAGGTTTTTATTTTCTTTAGAAGTTTTAGAGATATAAACGATTTTTGTCAATAAAACCGTCAAAATATAACTTTTATATTAATTTACTACAACCAATATTTACGAAGATCACTATTGGCTAAAAGATACGCGAACACTACACCTGACTAATAATATTCAAATTACCTATGTAACTCCAACTGTTTGTTAAAATTCGTCTCCAAAACTTTCCTATCTCTTTCCAACATGACTCCAATATGAGACACATCGTGAGTGGATAAATTTAGTTGCGATAACTGACCGCTCGAGGTAGCACACATCACTTCACCTTGATACATCAGTAAAGGAATTTGTTTTGCTACTAAAACTGTTTCGCCAATTTTTTTCACTTTGGTACCTAAAATATCATCTTTGCTTTAACAAACAGATTCAATTCTGTTTCTTAAGAAATGTTTTAATTTAATTTTTTAATTTAGACACTGATCGATATCTCGAATTCTCAAATAAAATAGTTCCAGTCCTAGCCGCTAGGTGATAGTGCAATGAATTTTTAGTTTAAGAAGTTGCTAATAGTTTCTGCCAGATGGCGTTAAATCAGAATTTTTTTGTAGTTTCCATAGTTTCCAACGGCCATTGTCATACTATTGTCAACTCAAAAAATATTGTCGTTGTCATAACGCCAATCATAATATCAAATGATTAACAAAACGAATTTCAAAGTATAATTTTTATTATATGTTGTAATTAGACAATTCTTTTTGTTTGTGGCCCTAAAATATAATGTAAGTCTTTTATTTTTTCCATCATTTAAGTACCTATTTATATTTACTCCATTTACAAAACTTTGGGTGTACTACGTTGGTCTTGTTTTATTATAGGTAATAAACGATGTTCATACATGTATATTTAACTTCTATTTTTTGCATGTATAAATTTTACTATTAAATTTTATTTTTTACACAACACATAGTAAAGATTTACATTAGATTTGATAATATTGTATAAAAAAATAACTTTTAAGATGGTTTTCAAATTTAAAATGATAGTTTCAAGTCAAATTATTTAAATGAGAGTATTTAAATTCAGACCCTCTCAATAAATGCCGCCACTAACATGGAACCATTTTTTAGTAAAGCACTTTCTTTTCGTTTTCTTGGTATATTCCTTGTCATAAGTTTAATTTCTTTTTTTTTTTAATTTGATCCCACTTTCACGTGAAATAGAGAGAACGGCAATATATGACGTAACGTTGAACAATGGTTGCACAGACTTTACCTTCTATGTATAATCTCATATAAATGTAAGTATGAATTTCGTGATCATCATATATAATAAATATGTTTCTATCAGATACGTTACAGTCCCAAGTACAACCACTAACTTTATTTGGAATGTTTTGTATAGGTGTGAGTTCATTAATAACCTAAAAAATATTCATATTTAAAAAAGCAAATATCAATGACTAAAGAATCCAAGGACAAATAACACCCGAGAGCAAATTGTGACGATATGAGCAAACAGTGCCGTGGCACATATTTTTCTTAACCTAGCTGTTTGAAGCAATATTTATATTTTTTGATAATTGTTTTGACTACGCCTATAGTGTACCATACTAATTAATTACGAAAAAACGTATTAAAATGTTAACAAAAGGTACAAAACTAGTATCGACGTATAGCACATATCAAGTACATATATATGTTAATTGAAATTGAAGAATAATTATCGAATTCGATAAGAAAACGTTAAAAAGTTGGAGTGGACTGTTTATTTACCTATGAAAAGTAACTTCTGGCTCTTTCTTATCGCGGTTCCTTTTACACTTTAAAGTTGAACAACTAATCACCATTGTAATAAAGTTTATACAAAGTTCACTACACACAAACTATTAAAAATGGCTAAAATTGTCGCTGGTGACCAAATGATGACTCATTATTTGCCATCAAAAGAATGGCCTTTAAGGTCACAAATTTTGCTGCAGCCCGTATATGGGCGTTACATGTCCTTATATTCTTTAGTCATTGGCAAATACTGTGTTCATAAATTATAAAATGTAGTAATCAGTAGTTATAAGTTATTTTAAATGACTCTGAATAATCAAAAAGGATACTTACGGCATTATAAACATATCCGTGACCTTTCACATCAACAAAAACTAATCTACTGCCTGCTGGATCTAAATACATATTCCTTATTCCAATTACATGTTTAAATTCTGTAGCTTTAGCCCAATCTTCAATATGAAAATATACAATATGGCCCATATCAGTTCCGTAGATTAGAAATTCTGTGGTCAATTCATGGCAGGTAATGACCAGAGTGTCATTAGATGATTCTGGGAAAATTATGGATTCCTTGTCCTCATGGCACACTTCAGGTTGTTCAATCTGTAAAGACAGTAATCGAAAGAAATCAAAATCTGCCCAACAAGACAATAAATGACACTAACAGATGTGTGTCTTTTTAATTCATCTGTAAATTGTATTTCTGTCATTTTTTGGACGTGGTCTGTCGAAATCTTCCCTGAGTCACTGGACAGACTTTAAGCAAAAATGTATTCACCAATAGTTTATATTACAGTTCATTTAAGATACAATATTTTTATTTTATTTTAGCGGCAACACAAAATTTATATTGAAATTTATATATATATAACCTAAACCAGAGCTATCCTTATTTTAATAAAAGCAAGTTTAACCTTCCCCCACCACTTTATTTTATGAGATAGAGCAAAATACTTTATATCAATTACAATTTTTTATATATCAATTACAATTTTCTCGATGATTACAATAGTAATATTTAAAATACCTGTTCACCTGCATATTTTTGAGAAAAACCCTGTTTTCTGATTGGCTATTAGAGAAACGCCCCCTAGAGGGCATTTCTTGAACTTGAAAATAATTTCCAGCGATTTCTCTTGGTCGATTTACTTATTAGAATTTTTTTCCAAAAGTTATATGATAAGTAGTTTCTGAGATACAGCCGGCGTCCATTCTTAGTTGGCCACCCGGTACACATAAATTGAAGAATTGAAATGTTAAACGAATATTTTGTAATTTCCAGACTTGATATACTCTTATTTTATACATCTATAAATGCTAACTTGAGAACTTATGTCAAATATTATTAAGTAGCAAAGTTTCGGCAGAATGACATCATTAAATGAAACTGAACATATCGAAATTAATTAAATCAAATTGTTTAAATGATATTTTCAAAAGTCAATAACTCGGAAACGGTTGGTTTGAGTTTTGCTAGAACTGCAGGAAGGACCGAAATACAGGGTGGCCCATCGAAAGCGTTCCGCAAGGCATAACGGCCAGGGTAATTTTTTTTTCAGAAAATTCAAAAACACGTCAATTTTGTTTGTGAGGGGGACAACTTTTGCCCCAAAAATGATTGCAAAATCTTCAACCCTCTAAGCGGGGGTGTCATCCCCCAACTTTTTTCAAATGGGAAGGGGCGTCAAGTGGTACCGCAATGAAAAGGGCTTTTTATTCTTTATACTTTCCCGCTTCGTTTTTTTGGAGTCATTGAGAAAATATGAAGGATTGAAATTTGAAAAGTTTATTTAAACATTTATCAGAGTAAATGATAAGGATAAATTCCTTCGACCAATTTGCTGATTTTTCTTATTATTTCTAGATGTTTACGCATTTTTTTACTTGCCACAAGGTTGAACGATCAGGTGCGGCAGTTGCTAGACTTGTTCTGTGACTTGTGCGTTGAAGTTCTTCTCAATATCGTTAAACTGTTTAACAATTATGGTGTACTCACTTGCAGAAAAAGTGGAAATAATCGAACTTTATTTTAAAAATAATGAATGTAGCAATCGGGTTCCGCAGATATTCAATGAATGCCAATAGCAAAATTTCGCGAAACTGGTTCCGTTATGAATAAAAAGAGGCAGAGGGAAAACCCTGTAGTAAATGAAGCTATGGAGGTATTCGTATTGGGCCAAGTTGCCATGGATAGTACGCTGAGTACAAGAAAATTAGCCAATGCAAAATTAACCGGCGTGAATCGTACCAGTGTCCAAAGGATATTAAAAAAACACAAGTTCCACCCGTACAAAATTCAGTTGGTACAAGAACTCAACGAAGACGATTTTGATCGTCGCTTGCAATTTTGTGAAACTGTGATGCCCACTTGCACCGTTTCTATAAACTTTGTTTAAAGGCTAAACAGTGACTAACTATACAGATTATAGTTAATCACTGTTTAGCCTGTAAACAAAGTTTATACAAACGGTGCAAGTGGGCATGAGTAAACGAGTGGCGAATGATAATAATTTCCTATTTAATGTGTGTTTTTCGGATGAGTGTACTTTCTTTTTGAACGGCCAGGATATTTTTTGAAAAAAAAATATCCTGGCCGTTATGCCTTGCGGAACGTTTTCGATGGGCCACCCTGTATGCATAATATACAGGGGGTTTCATTTAAAAAATTGAAACTTTGATGTGCCACGACTTTATGACCGACCCTGTATACTTAAATTTATAATCCGCTAATAGATATTTATAAACCCTATAACTTTTGTATTTAACTTAAAAAGGTTTCTAAATGGCTACCATGACCTCAAATGAGCCTTTAATATAATATATTATATATATATATATATATATATATATATATATATATATATATATATATATATATATATATATATATATATATATATATATATAAAGGATAATCGACTGGGAGGTCCTAGAAAGAGAGTCCTTGAGTGATCACAAATATATTTACTTTAGTATAAAGGAAGATTTTCCTCTCCCGTGTCCTAAACCAGATGATACCGGATGGCAAGTCAGAAAGTTGGATCAAGCAAAGCTTCATTGCATACTAGATAAACCACAGCCCAGCTTGAATACCGAACAACTAGCAGCAAAATTCTCCGAAAAGCTTACAGAAATATGTAACGAGGTCATGCCAAAAAGGTGCCGTTCCTCTAAAAGGCAACCAATGTACTGGTGGAATGAACGAATTGCTGAATTACGCCGTGACTGTTTAAAATGGCGTCGACAATATACTAGGACCAGACGAAATCAAGTCTCTAATAACCTCACTGTCTGGGAAAACTACAAAAAAAGCAAAAATGCACTTAGGGGTGAAATTAAAAAATCAAAAAAGAAGTGCTGGAGAAGATTATGTGACGAAGTAGACTGCGACATATGGGGTAATGGGTACAAAATAGTAATGAAAAACATCATTGGTTTTCCACCAAAACTTTCTATCCCATTAGAAAAGATGGAAGAAGTGGCTAGACATCTCTTTCCTGTCCATCCACCAGTAAGTTTTGACTGTGGCAATAAATATAACATTCCTGTCTTTACTCTAGGTGAACTAGAAGCAGCATGCAATAAGCTTATAAACAACAAAGCGCCGGGACCAGGAAACATACCTAGTGAAATTATTAAAACAGTTGCAAACAAAATACCACAATACACTCTAGCTGTATATAATAGTCTGGTTAACCATGGAGAGTTTCCGTCGGAATGGAAAAAGGCAAAGCTTCTGCTATTGCAAAAAGGGAATAAACCGATGGAAAATCCGTCATCGTACAGACCCATATGTCTCCTGGACGTGGAAGGAAAGTTATATGAGCAAATGCTACTAGGTAGACTCAACACTGAGATAGACCGTACGGGAGGTTTGTCACCTAAACAGTATGGCTTTCAAAAAGGCAAGCAGGCAGTTGATGCAATTAATGAGGTCCTTAGGATAGCAAAAGATGCCGAAAACTATGCTTACGCGAATAGAAGATTGTGCGCAGCCATTGCACTTGACGTAAGAAACGCATTTAACAGCGCATCGTGGCAGATAATTCTGGATGAGTTTAAAAAAAGAGGTATTAACGAAGGCTTGACAAGGATAATATCATCATATTATACAAATCGATATGTGTTGTTAAGTGACCAAAATAACTCCAAAGCTTTGAGGGTTAATAGTGGAGTCCCACAAGGTTCAGTGTTGGGACCAACTCTATGGAATATTTTGTACGATGAACTGCTGAGAACAGAGATGCCAGAGGGAGTTACGCTAATAGGATTCGCGGATGATATAGTTTTAGTAGTTACTACAAAAACGGAAGCTTTACTAATGACACTAACTAATACGGCCCTGTTAAGAATATCACATTGGATGAATGGGAAAAATTATCCTTGGCCCCAGAGAAAACAGAAGCAGTACTTTTAACTAAGAAGAGAAAAATAAACACAGTCGTCTTCAATGTCCAAGATGCTATGGTTAGACCAAAGAACTCTATAAAGTACCTTGGAGTATACTTGGACCAAAAACTGTCGTTTGCTGTGCATATCTCAAAAACCATTGAAAAGGCAGGGAGAACAGTCACAGCCCTTTCAAGACTAATGCCTAACGTAGGAGGTCCTCGGACATCAAAAAGAAGAATTCTATCTAGCGTAGTACACTCACAAATATTGTATGGGGCACCAGCCTGGCATGAAGCGACCAAAAATAAAATTCTCATGACCAAACTAAGTAGTCTTCAAAGAGTCCTGTCGATAAGAATATGCAGCGGGTATAGAACAATCTCGACCCAAGGAGTTGGTGTTATTGCGGGAATACCTCCAATCAAGCTGTTAATAGAAGAGCGGCGCGAACGGTATTTGGGCACCCCAAAAACTATTGCTAATACAAAACTAATGAGGAAATGGCAAGAAGAATGGGAAAATGGTAAATATGGACGCTGGACATATCATCTCATCCCAAACATAGCAGCATGGATAGAAAGACCCTACGGCGACGCGGACTACTTGCTGACTCAAGCGCTGTCTGGGCATGGTTGTTTTAACAAGTATCTTTATGAACGAAAAAAATCCACCACTAGCAACTGCCGCTATTGCCAGAAAGAAGATGATGTAAAGCATACAATGTTCGAATACCCAAACTGGTCCATAGCAAGAGAAACCTATCTTCAAAAAACAGGCATGTAATTTACAGCAGAAAACATGATGAGGAGCCTAATAGAGTCCAAAGAAGGATGGAACCACGCATATATAGCAATTAGAACAATTATGGCGACAAAAGAAAGGGATCATAGATCACATGTATGAGAGAGGAAAAAGGAACAGACATAGAAACTACAAGTAGAATGTGAACCTAGAACGCTCTGCCAAGAGCTGAGAGAAACATCCAGCACATCGTTTTCGAAGTAATGCGAAAGCGGTATCCGAATCGATTTGCTGTGGAACAGAGGGTGAAGGGTTTAGTCGGTCGGTAGTACCAATCAGACACTGTCTGGGCACACAAGAGCGCGCAAGCAGCACATGCGTCTGATAAGCAGATTCCTAATCCCCGCTTTAAAAAAAAAATATATATATATATATAGCTTATATATATATATATATATATATATATATATATATATATATATATATATATATATATATATATATATATATATATATATATATATATATATATATATATATATATATATATATATTATATATTATATATATATAATATAATATATTAAAGGTAATAATATAAATATTATATTATAATATATTAAAATTATATTTATATTATAAATATAAAACTATTTTGTTTCAGTGACTATAGAATTAAGATTGTGTGATTCAATTTTTTTTATTACATACCATATGCAGTTGAACTTTTCCTTCAAAAAGAACAGAGGCATATTCAGGATTCAGACGCACACTGGTAACGGCGCCTAAATATTGACGATCGTTTAAACTTAAAGGCATATCGTCTGAACCAGGCTGCGATTTGGTCAAATCGTAGAACCAGATTCTGTTGTTCATTCCAGCTGCTAAGTGATAATGACCTACAGCTATAAAAGATGGTTCAGTCTCCAAATTCACGATTATTGGAGTTAATTTTCCCTAAAAAGAAAAATATAAATAAAAATATAATAAATAATCTATACTAATATATAAAATCCTTAAGTGACTGACTCACTGATTAATCACGATCCTGCTCAAATCACGATCGTGCTCAAACCACTCAACGCAAGAAGCTCAATTTTGGCATACAGGTTGATTCTAGGATGTAGAGGTTCAATAAGAAGGGATTTTTCGAAATTCCAGTTTCAAGGGGGCGAACCCACCCCTCAAATATTACAATATTTTTTTTATTTAAAAAACGGTCAAGTTTCCGAAAACACGCTTAAACACGTATATTTTATTTTGTTATTTATACATTTTAAGATTTTTTAAAAATGTATACAGGGTGTTTCGAAAAATCTGGTCATTGATTAATCACGATTCTGCTTAAAGTGCTTGACGTGAAAAGCTGATTTTTGGAAAACGGATTGACTTTAGGGTGTAGAGGTTCGATAAGAAGAGATTTTTCGAAACCCGAATTCTAAGGGGGCGAAACCACCCCTCAAATATTAGAATATTTTTTATTTAAAAACCGGTGAGTTTTTCGGAAAAAAACCCTTAAAGACGTATATTTTATTTTGTTGTTTTACATATTTTAAGGTTTTTTAAAAATTTATATAATGACATGAATGACATGAAAATATGACCATTGAGTAATCACGATTCTGCTTAAAACTGCTCGACGTTTAAAGCTGATTTTTGGCAAACGGATTGACTGTGGGGTGTAGAGGTTCGATAAGGAGGGGTTTCTCGAATCTCAAATTCCAAAAGGGTGAAAACACCCCTCAAATATTACAATATTTATTATTTAAAAAACGGTTAGTCTTTCGGGAAAACGCTTGGACACGCATAATTTATTTTGTTTTTTTTTACATATTTTGAATTTTTTTAAAAAATCATACAGGGTGTTCCAAAAGTTAGGTAATTGATTAACTACGAATAATAATATAATAATAGTTTATATGATAGGGCAAAAATAATATGTACAGACGTTTCACTAAACAGAGATATAAACCACATAAAAAATACATTAATAAAAAACGACTATCCACCATATTTTATTGACAAAACATTAAACGAGAAATACAAACCCCAAATCATAGACACAATGATAACAATACACAATATATACAACTTACAATTCCATACATACGAGGCGTTTCGGAAAAAATAAGAAGGATAGGAAAACAATATAACATACGAACATCTTTCAAAACACAAAATACACTTAGATCCATTTTATCACATACTAAACCAATGGATACAGAACAACAAACAAAAAATGTAATATACCAAATACCATGTGAACGCGATAAATTTTAGATTGGTGAAACATCTAGACCCTTAAATGCTAGAATTAAAGAACATAAAGATTATTTAAGAAAGGGAGATTTTCACAAATCTAAGATTTGTTAGCATTCATGGGACACAGGGCACAGAATAAATTTTAATAACGCCAAAATTATAATGAAAGAAGCGATAGCCTCTAAAAGAAAAATAAAAGAGGCTTTTTTAATTCAATCTAATAAAAATAAATGTATTTGTCATGCATCTGTAGATGTTAGTAATCTATGGCAATCGCTTCTTTGATTTTAAAGAACATAACATAAATAAACATAACATATGTAAAATTTAAAACTAATCATACAGAAAGTTTTGGGTTTTTTGGTTTTACCTTATTAAATAATTATTCTTAACAGGTAGCAGGTAGTAGTTGTTAATTTTGAAGTTTAACTTGATATAATGTCATTTTAACAGAACGTCAACGGTTTCTTGTAGACGTATCTGTTTTAAAAAAAGTAAAGTGTTCGCGAATAGTCGAATTTAAATATTTTAAATAGTTTTTTTTCTTTATTTTTTGTATTTTTTTGCTTCCGACGACGGAAAGAGATAAACTTTCCGAATCGTTAAGCATTTTTTTCTTTGTTAGGCAAATTTTTATTACTGTAAACATAACTTCTGACAAGCAGTGTCCGTTTAAGTTTAATGCAGAAGTGTTTACAAAAAATAACTATTTTATTTTGTAGATTTTTCTTGCAGTGCAGTGGCGAAATACCCATAAAGGATTTTTTTGGAGTGATTAACTACGATTCTGCTAAAACTGCTTGACGTAAAAAGCTTATTTTTGGCAAACGAAATTTTCGAAAGTCGAATTCCAACGAGATAAAACTACCCCTCAAATATTACCAACTTATATACTAATATCGCCATATTGTTTTTTCTCATGCTGACATAAATGTGAGAAAATTTTATCCAGTTCGTATGTTAATGGAAATTCTTGCTTTGCTTTATCATCACCATTACAAATGATTAATTTGACGCGAACGAAATCGCTGGTACACGCTAGTTGCATAAATTTTTTTAATAAATGAAAAAAATCAATGACATTGTTATAAATTACCATCAATACGAGATTTAATCGCAGAATACCTAAATATACCTAAAGGCAGTAAATATACCTAAAGGTATCAGACCCACTATTTGTAGGAAGTTTAAGTTCAGATAATTCTATATCCTAATTTTTTTATGAAAAAATTAATATTATTAACTACATACCTTATCTGAAGAATAGCTATAAAGACTAATTTCAGTTAAACTTGATAATATAGCGATTCTAGGTGGACAAACTGCTGTCAAAAGCTGCATATGAGAGACATACACATTGACAGATCCACCTCGAGTGATAACTGCCAATAATTGTCCATCGCTGCTCCACGATATTCTTTCTAAACCTGATTCTTGTGGTAAATTTAAAACACTTGAAGTTTCTTGTAAGTTTGAAAGGTCATGAATTTTTACACTACAATCACATTCATTTTTCTATAAGACTTTTAAATATATTTTTTTAAGAAACCCACCTACTATCACCACAAGAGGCTGCTTTTCCAATACTCTCACAAACAGCAATATCGGTCAATAAGTTCTTATGGTTTCTTGTTTGGAATAATTCTTGACCTACTTCTTTAATATGAGTTGATATTGCAATATAGTATCCAGCGGAAAAGCCTAATAATATGTAACCATCACCAAACCATCTGTATGATACTATTGAGCCATAATGTGGTTGAAAAGCTAACTCAAATGGATTATCTGGGTCCAATAAGTTGTATAAATATAAGGTTTTCCTTCCAACTATGGCACTAATCTGAGACATTATGATAATATGCAATAAATAGTCTGAATAAAAGTTATTAGCAAAACTTACTGTATTTTCTGCTCCCGCTCGTTCATCTAATTTAATTTCTGAAAATTGTAAGTCAGATGGTTCGGCTCTCAAATTAATAATTTTTAGAGTGTCTCCTTCAGCATTACTAACAGATATTGTTTTATCATCTGAACCCAATGCCAGTAAATTTTCATTATTCCATGTGCCACATGTGATTCTTTTTGTATGTTTTCCTATAATCGGTACTCTCCTATAAAAATATTAAACTAAAACTTGCTTTAACGCTGATTTTAATATTTTTAACATACTTTGAAGTAGTATGATTATATATAGATACATTCCCTTTTGTTGTACCCACAGCTAAAATGGGACCTTTTTTAGCCCACGTCAGGCATGACATGTAGTCTTTAAGACCAACATCTATGAAAAGTTTCTTAGAAGAATTAGCATCCCAAACGATTAGTTGAGACTGACTTACTATTCCTAATAAATCCCCATCGGAATCCCAACTAAAGCTGGTACACAAACTGAAAAATAATGGCTTTAACATAGAATTTCTTAAAGTAATTTGAAGTTAGAATACATACTTGGGAAGTCGAATTCTTTCAAATATTTCTCCATATCTATCAAATATATTTACCATACAATCAATGCCAGTTGTAGCTAAATACATGCCTGACCCTTTTTGCCAAGTTACATAAATATCCCCATTCCCATGGGGCTGTTCTAATCTAAATAACAGCTAAAACAAAATATCAGTTTTATATTTATATTAACTGTAAATACAAATTTTACTTTTTCCATGATTATATTGAATTAAATAATTTGTTTTCTATCGTTAAATAACATCATTTGCTTGAATACAAACACATATTTCTTGGTTACAAACAAATCAAAGGAAATTAAAAATTAAAGGTCTACAAAAATGTAAACAAATACCTATAATGTCATGCCCATAGAATAAATAAATATATGTAACTCTTTGAATAAGAAGATTATGGAAGGAGCATATCAAAAATCTTAGGTACACCATGGGTACACCCAAATACGTTCAAATAAAAATGTAAATTTAAACGTATTTGGGTACACCCAAGGATAGTTCGATTCTATGGAGGCTAGAAGGAGGAAGCCCCGTTCTCAGAACAGCGAGTGTCGCCAGCGACACATCAAAAGAACCAATCAGATTGGTACAAAATTCAAACAGCTGTTAATTTTAAATTTAGTACAGCTCTCGTTGGTTGTTTGAAATGTCAAACTGTGTAGCCAGCGACACGACGCAATTCTGAGAACGGGGCTGGAGGCGAATCGACAATGGGCATCATAGATGGGCATATTTGAAATTTCCAGAGAAATAGAAGGAATAGAGAATGAGCGTCAACATGCGCAGAAGGTCTAATCAAAATGGGGCGCCATATTCCAGGTCTCCGTGTCATTTTGTATATAGGTGGTAATCTATAAGTAATCAAATATCAATTTGCTGTTTTCAACTATACGAGGGGCAATTTAAATTTAGTGAAATTCTATCATTTATTATGGTTAGTTAATATAATTTATTTAATTATCATCAGTTTCAAAACTGGGTAAAGGTGTGGATCCGGTGGCTGACCTTGAAGCCCATATTTGCTGCATGATCACGATATCTACGCAACGACATGGTCGATGCCAAAATTGCATTATTTTCGAATTTTTAAAAAAAAAAAAAATATTTTTTGACTTTTTTTTTTTTTTTTTTTTATTATAATTAATTTTAGATTTCAGATCTAGAATCCCCCCTGATATCCAAAATTAAGGAAAGAAGGATAATGAAGATGTGAAATGAAAGTATTATGAAAATATAAAATGCTAAATAACATTTATATATATTTACATTAATTAAAAATTATCATTTACGATTTTCTTATGTTTTAAATATAGAATATTTTAATCTTCAAGTTATTTAATTTCTAGTTTTTTTTTTTTTTTTTTTTTTTTTTATATTATTGATGTATTAATACTACCATTACGAGTGTTATAAACAATACACGTCAATGGGAGTTAGAGGTAACATCTTACCTATAATGTTACTAATATTATTTTTTTTTTTTTTTTTTTTTAATAATATCTGAATTCTTTAAATATTAAGGATTAATAGTCAATTTTTAGACATATTTTATCGAAGAGGTGTTATAATACAAAAATTAGCTTTGTTTTATCTTTCTCTTAGAGTAGAGATAGTTGTGCCGGTAAATACATTTACAGTATTTAATTCGGTGACTGATATTCTTTTCCTAATTTACTGTAATTTCTGTTTCCTATAATGCCAAAACTTGAAAACATGGTAAAGGCAAAGAGTAGATAAGAAAAGAGACGACAGTGAACAAACAAGAAACGAAAAAAAAAATAGTTATTTATTATATTAAATCTTTCATAGAATTTCGTTGTCTTAATCTAACTAATATGCTGTGGGAAAATAAATTAAAATATGTTTTTTTATTTTATTTTTTGATTCTAGGAGAAAAATATATGGTTTTAAAATCATGGAAAATTACATAAATTAGTGTAAGAATAAAGAAAACTAAAGTAGCAGAAAAATAATGCAAAATGTATAACAAATTAACAAAACTGTAAATTTGCTGAAAGCTATTCGTACAATTTTAATTAACGTAATAAATTTAGTTTAAAAAAAAAAAAAAAAAAAAAAACTATATGAACTATGACCATGGAGCCACAGCATTTAAAAATTAAAAAAAAGAAAAAACTTGACACATCCTTTAATTTCCGCACTGTCCCGAATTTTATAAAGCACTTTTAAAGCGTAGCATTAATCTAGAGCAAGAATTAATTATGGGAATCTAGAATTTTATTTCTATTTAATTTACTGACTCTGAAAATACATAATAAGCATTCACGTTTTACGTGTTGTGCGATAATAATTAAAAAATAATAGAAATATATACCCTCGTACTATGATTGAAAAAAAAGACGTCAGTCGATGACTATGAAATGAGGATCTCTGTCATTTTATATGGGAAATTCCTCAATCGTCATCCTAGCCAACTAACCGCTGGTTTTTCGATCAACTGTAATATTACAAAACCACTGAAAAGCAATATTTTTTTCTACTGAAAATATTTCCAAAAATCAATCTTGCATCTGCAACATCAAGAAGTGCGCATGCGTAGTGTCTTTGACTATATGCAGCAAAACTCGTTTCAAGGTCAGACACGATCCACACCATTGTACAAAGAAAACAAGATATGATCATAGCGGCTCCAATTTCGTAAGTTTGCGCATACCACCTTGACGTCATACGCCATACAGTGCCTTCTATCACAGAATATCTAGCTACGCAACAGAAAGCCTCTTACATTTTTATAAAATTTGTAGGTAGCAAAAGATACAGGCTTTAATAATTCTTTCTCCAAATCAATATTTTGATGTGGTATTTTCGCTACTACATAATAGAGGGCAATAATATCTAAAAAATACATTTTTACAAACAAATGTTAAAAAGATTGTGTGCAGTGTTGCCATTGTATAATTCATATCGTAATACTTCCTAATAAAGCCTACTTCAAATTGCTAATCATTATAACATATTAAATATAGATCAGATGTTTTATTTTCAGTTTTCCATGTTAGTTGGAATTAAATCATATGAGCTAAATTACAATTACTTCCTGACGTTTGATTGTAATTGAATCCTGATTTTCATTGTAATTCGGCGACAATATAAAAGTATTTTCTAACTATACGATACCATTCTGCTCAATTGGACTAAAGACTTTGTATTACTACGTATCCTTCGTACTGTAATATGATGTACTATGATGCATTATAAAGTGGTACCTTTAATATATACCATATTTCAATACCATTTCTTGGCGTTCGATTGAGCTCATATTTGATATTAATACTTGCGTATTGATGACATGTGATATTATGGTACCTATAGGCATTCACTGTACCATAACTATCAGTACATATACTACATGCTTCATTGCTAAACTTGGTATACTACGTATCTTCTTTTACATTGTAATATGATGGTACTTTCATGCATATAAAGTGGTACCTTAATATAATACCATATACTATACCATTTCCTGGCTTTCGATTTGGCAAATGGTTATACTACTATCTCATTACATTTAATATGATTGAATCTATGAGTATAAAATGTACCTTAATATATACCTATAGGATACCATTTCATTGGCGTCGATTTTCTTAAATTGTATACTCGGATCTTCGTGACATTGCAATTATTATTGTACCTAAAGTATATCGAGTGACCATAAAGACACTATATGATATTCATTCCTGGAGTTCACTTGGCCCAAATTATATGACTGCGTTTCTATAAGATGTAATTAATATTTTAATTTATTTTACGAATTTTAATTTATTGTTCGATGTCGTGACAGCAACTTATATGCCCGATACTTAATATTTATATTTACCTGGGTCACTTATTAAAATCTACCTAAGTCTATATAAATAACGTGACAAACAGAAGAAATTTTTATTATAGTGTTTTTTAGTCAGTTAACATTTTTGTACTGCATTTTAATAAATATTCCATATTATTAAACTTATTATTTCTAAAATGTAAAAATAAAAAAAATTAATAAATATCACTATCAATCGCCCTTATATTATTTAATTTAAAGGTATTAAAGCATTTTCTTATAAAACATTATAAGTAGTGTATATTAAAAATTATGTTTTGTAATAATAACTAAATTAAAAAAAAAAAAAAAAAAAAAAAATGTATTAATATATTTTATTTTTTTTTTTTTTTTTAAGAAAAAACACATACTGCATTATACACAATAAAAAATGGGATGCCAATTCAAGTCTTTTGAATCTGGCAACTGTGCAAATTTAGCCGAGCTATAAGCCGTCGACGAGCCGTCGATCCCAAACCGAAATTCAAAATTTCGAATTATTTCTGATATTTATTTTTTTTTTTATTTTGTTTTTTATTTGTGCAATTTTAGCTCTATCATTTCGAGTATTTTTCAGTTGCGTAGCTAGATATTCTGTGCTCTATTAAAAGATCAGCTCGCGGACTTGTACTTCATCAGTTACAACTAATACTGGTTAATCCGTTTCATCCGGTTATTTTGGTTTTAACTCTTATTTTGTATTATTAATTGTAGTGCAAAAAACTAATATTTTTTGATAGGAAAAACTACTACCAGATATATGGTCACTATCGGTTTCGCATAAAAAAATAAATTTTAAAAAGTTACACGTTGTTGTTAATATTAACCTAAATGCCCATACATTTACTTATCTGATTTTTTGTGGTTTTTAGAACTCTAACAATTCACCAATAAGCTTAAGTGGAGTGTGTTTCTATCCTCACTTTTTGTTCTGTGGAAAGATATGCACTAAGGATATTATTATACTAGCAGACTAAGGTGTCCAAGAGGGCAAGGAAAAAGTGGGTACGAGTTATAAATCAGAGAATTTTATTAAATATCTATAATAATTAAATAAATAACCCATATGTAATTAAATGAAAAGCTGGACAATTAGTGTTATTTTGTCATATGTGGAATCTCCACTCAAGTGTTCTGTCAGCTTCGATAATTCAAAATCACGTAAGTAGTATATATCTAGGGGAAAAATAAAAATATGTATAAATCATGAAAAATTATTATTTTAGTTCAAATTTTAAAAAAAGACAAGACTGATACCATAAAGTAACTAAAAAAAAAAAAATTTGTTGATAATATTAAGTATGTTAAGCATAACATATATTGTTCATAATTTTTAATGAAGTAGTTATTATATTATATACCAAATAATACAAATATTAAGGTGAATCTGAAACAAATGAATAAAATAACAATAAAATGTATATTATGGCATAATAGCAAATTAAGTTAAGAATAAAGTTACTAAAATACAAGATTATTATTCTTTTTAATTTGTCTTAATGT